CCCGCAAATGTACCGCTGTTGATAGCTGTGCTTGTGCGAATCGTTAACTCGCTGCGATGCTTTTTGTTGTTTAAATTGCTGCTGATCTGCTAACCCTGCATGCTGCTTGCTATGCTACACATCCATTGTTGTCTAGCACTGAGCTAATTCCCACTTCCGGTGCCGCGCCGCTGCTGTACGTGCACTGTTTCTGAACCACTCTGCTTACTGCACTGCTTACACGTTGTCTAACAATAACACTACTTGCTATACTTTCGAGCTATTCGGGCTCACACTGACCCTGTGTTTTGGCGATCGAAGGGTGCTAACCCCGTCCCTACATGCTGCTAAACGGAGCTACACCTCTTTTATTGTCTAGCATAGGACTACCTTCCGGTCCCGGTGCGCTACTTCCGGGGCTACACTGTTGCTGCCTTGACATTTCATTCTGCACCACGTCCCATGCCCAACTGCTGGCCGTGGTTCTAACATTAATACTGTTTTGCTATACTTTCGTGCTGTCTTGGTTTACGCCGACTCTATAACCACACTACACGGCCAAACTCGATGTTTGATTGTGTTAAACTAATACGGTAATTCTGCTCCTCACTGCTGCATGTTGTTGTTGGACCGCATTGTTTGATTGTGTTGAACTAATACTGTAATTCTGCTCCTAACCGCTGCATGTTATTGTTAAACCGCATTGCTGTGTTGGTTAAACTATTACTGTATTTCTGCCCCACGCTACGTGCTGTCACTAAAAACTGCATCGCCTTGTCGTTCAGCCTGCTGCTTACTTGCTACTGCTAACGCTGCGTCCTACGCCGCTGTGTCTCAACGCAGTTGCGTCTTAACGCCGCAGTTGCGTCTTAACGCCGCAGTTGCGTCTTAACGCCGCAGTTGCGTCTTAACGCCGCAGTTGCGTCTTAACGCCGCCGCTTCTCAACGCCGCTGCGTCCCAACGCAGTTGCGTCTTAACGCCGCTGTTGCGTCTTAACGCCGCTGTTGCGTCTTAACGCCGCTGTTGCGTCTTAACGCCGCTGTTGCGTCTTAACGCCGCTGCTTCTCAAACGCCGCTGCGTCTTAACGCCGCTGCGTCTTAACGCCGCTGCTTCTCAAACGCAGTTGCGTCTAAACGCCGCAGTTGCGTCTCAAACGCCGCTGCGTCTCTACGCCGCAGTTGCGTCTCTACGCCGCAGTTGCGTCTCTACGCCGCAGTTGCGTCTCTACGCCGCAGTTGCGTCTCTACGCCGCAGTTGCGTCTCTACGCCGCAGTTGCGTCTCTACGCCGCAGTTGCGTCTCTACGCCGCAGTTGCGTCTCTACGCCGCAGTTGCGTCTCTACGCCGCAGTTGCGTCTCTACGCCGCAGTTGCGTCTCTACGCCGCAGTTGCGTCTCTACGCCGCAGTTGCGTCTTAACGCCGCTGCTTCGCAAACGCCGCTGCGCCCCAACGCAGTTGCGTCCCAACGCAGTTGCGTCCCAACGCAGGTGCGTCTTAACGGCGCAGGTGCGTCTTAACGGCGCAGGTGCGTCTTAACGGCGCAGGTGCGTCTTAACGCCGCAGGTGCGTCTTAACGCCGCAGGTGCGTCTTAACGCCGCAGGTGCGTCTTAACGCCGCAGGTGCGTCTTAACGCCGCAGGTGCGTCTTAACGCCGCTGCGTCCCTACGTAGTTGCGTCCCTACGCAGTTGCGTCTCAACGCAGCTGCGTCTTAACGCCGCAGGTGCGTCTTAACGCCGCTGCGTCCCTACGCAGTTGCGCCTCAACGCCGCTGTGTCCCAACGCAGGTGCGTCTTAACGTGCGTCTTAACGCCGCAGTTGCGTCTTAACGCCGCAGTTGCGTCTTAACGCCGCAGTTGCGTCTTAACGCCGCAGTTGCGTCTTAACGCCGCTGCTCCCTACGGCGCATCCCTACGCCGCGTCCTTACGCGCCGCCCCTACGCCGCGTCCTTACGCCGCGCCCCTACGCCGCGTCCTTACGCCGCGTCCCACGCCGCGTCCTTACGCCGCGCCCCTACGCCGCGTCCCTACGCCGCGTCCCTACGCCGCGCTAGGGATGTAAAAAACTATGAATTTTCATGACCGACCACCGAGCCTCATTAACCGGTTGAAAACGGTTAACCGCGTAGTTTAAAATAGTCCACGTTCTTTGAAATAACAGCCATTTTGAGCCGCGTACTTTTCATAAGTGCAGCTCTGCGTTCTACTGGATCAGAGTTGAGACAGCGGCGCCAAAACCCGCAACAGCTCCGGCACCTTTGCGCACAGAGAACTGCTTTTTTAATCTTCCCATTCTGCTGTGCTGCGGGTTAAAACCAAAACTTTCTAGCAGCAAACGACGGCTCGTTCACATGGTCAGAGCAGCGAGTGACGAGCCGCGTCTCACAGGTCTTCACAAAAGTTTAAATACAAGTGATGTGTGTGGAGCTGATCCCGAGGACCATAAACACAAACATGTTCCATGTGGTTTGACTGGAGCCGCGTATTTGCGCGAATCCTTTGGGCTCCGTGACACAGAGGAGCGCGACAGACCGGTATGTGTGTGTGTGTGTATGTGTGTGTGTATGTATGTGTGTATGTGTGTGTGTGTGTATGTATGTGTGTATGTGTGTGTGTATGTATATGTGTGTGTGTGTAAATGTAAGCTCCAATGTAGTTCTGACCCGCGCCAGTGTGAAACTTTGACAGTAACAGAGGGGAGAGATGATGCGTGTGGATGTTACGTATGGAGAGGGGGAAAGTGTGTGTGTGTGTGTGTGTGTGTGTGCGCGCGCGTGCGTGTGTGCATATGTGGCTCGTGCGGCGTGAGAGTCGTCCCGGAGTTTATAATACATGGGCGCACACAGCTAGATACGGACCCGCTCGTCACACCGTGCAAATAGGGCTTAAAATAGCGTTATTAAGAGACCTCCCCTCTCCCCTTTTTCTCTTTTTTAACCGACAGCTTTGACCGGTTAACGCTGTGACGGTCAACCACCGGTTAAACGGTCGCCGATTTACATCCCTACGCCGCGCCCCAACGCCGCGCCCTACTACTGCTGCTACCGCTGGTGCTACTACTAACCCTGCGTGCGCCAACGCCGCTAACCCCAACACTCTTCGCTGACACACAGGTGAAGAAGCACTAACGCCTGACCCCAGTCCTAGGCTACCTACTCGCATACACCGCCGCACAAAGAGGACGCTGTAGTCACGGCTTTGACATACACCAAGGTTTGCACCACCACACAAACAACAGCTGTACTACCCACTCTATAGCACTGTTTTCCTCCTTTCCTCCTCCACCGTGTCATGCACACACGTTCCAAGTCATACTCGCATACACTCACACACGCAAATATGGACAACGATGGCGGAAACTCGCCACGCCCGAGCGAGCACGACGGTGTCATAGAAGAACAGGATGTGGTGGATAACTTTCTGCGTGACTTTACCGAAAAGCTATCCCCGGGAGCCTATGACACGCTTAAACATGGCTCGCCCTCTGTCTTACAGGATGCTACCTCCATGTTGGCATCCGAGGTTATTACGAAGAAACTCGAAGGTAAGACCCCGAGCCAGTGGCTGGGACAACTAGCCGCAGTCTCCAGGGTAACCTTACGCGAATCCGAGGCTAAATCAGAACAGCTTCAAGACAAAGTAGGTGAACTACAACGGCAACTAGCGGAAGCTAGAAAGTCCGTCGAAAACCTTAAAGAACAACACCAACAGGTAAGTAGAGACCACCAGTAGGGACTGGCCGCGCATCGAGAATCAGGGCCGCTATGTCGACCAGAACCGGTCGAGACAGTGCCTCCGGGTCACACTCCCCTCGCTCCGACCGCGGCGACCCATCGTCCGAGAATGAACGCAGGAGCGTGGCCGAACTGGTAAGTATCATGACGGGAAAAGACCAAAATCAAGGTCAAAGGAACAATACACAACCCAACAATACTAATCGGAACAGACCCCAGCGGTCCGCCAACGACGGACCCGACCACGTTGCGCGCGACCCCGACCAAACAACGGGACCGCACACAACTACAGCCAACCAACAACACAACATTAGACACATCGACCACTTTGACCCCAGACTCGACCCACCTACGAGCCAGGCGACGTACCATGTGACAGACCGCTCGCGGGTCCCCGGGGACCTCTCCGTCTATGAGAGACAACCCCCGCCCGGACCCGCCGCAACGCATTGAGACAACAGGACTACCCGACCCACAACTCTGGCCCACCTGACGTCCATACGAGACATGTTTCAGACTACCGCCATTGGGAAGAAAGGGCCCAACCTGAACATGGCGGACAACCCCACAACGACCCCCCTGGCGCACATCAGAACATGCTACATGGACCACACGACGCACGGTACCCTAAGCCTGGGCCGTCCGCATATGCTGCGACACAATGGCCAGCGACCCGCCATGGGAACGCCGGGGACCTCCCCAATCATGGAGGACAACCCCACGGCACCCCCCCTGACGCACGCCAGGACTTAGCCCTAGGTCAACGATACTACTCGGACTATAGAGGACGCGACGCCCGTCACACGCCACCGGTAGGTCAAGACCCGCTCGGACCATCCGACCGCGACTTTGACCGCATAGCTAGACACATAAACCGCTTTGACCCCCGGCCCGGCATGCCTACAAACACCCGGTCATACCTCCGCGTCGTCGACTTCCACGCCGACCGCATACCACACGCATCTCAAGATGACAAAATATTCTTGATTAGACTCACGTCCAATGGAGAGGTGAATGACTTCATCGAAAGGCAACCAAAGGCTATAAAACAAGACTACAATGAGCTCTGCAAAGCCATCCTAGCAGAATACTCAGACTACGGCGCCTCCGGGACCCTCACGGCAGCCATGGCAGTCAAACAAGCTCACAACGAGCTTGCGGAATGCTACTACCACAGGTTGAGACAGGCCTACTTCGGCAACCGAGAACGAGAGACGCGCCGGCCAGGCCGACGGGAAAGACCGCGTGCCACAACGGTCCCACCAAGACCGCACTGCTACAACCATAAATAAGAGCAACCTTTCCAGAGAGGAACAATCCCTCCTCCGCACGCTCCTGCGCAAAGCCAGAGAAAAGAAGACAGACAGCGCCGACGTTTTCGTAGTGTCCGTGTCGGATGACGCCGAGGACGCTCCCTACCAGATGGACGACGACCTCAGCGAACAGGAGCCGGATGACGACTACTCCGACCCAAACGCACAAAATGAGGACACCCGCTACGACCAGAGGGATGTCATGGTAATACAGGTAAACTCCATTACAGACCCACAAGGGGATGACCCCTCGACAACCAACTGCGAACCACCGTTCCACCAATTCATTGGCGATCTACAACAAAAAGGTACCTACGGGAAACTCTACTTGCCCGTGACGCTTGAAGACCAATGGGAACACGAGGCGCTCGTAGACACAGCTGCCGATATCAGCCTGATTGGCGACGATCTCTTCGGTAAGTTACAGTCCCTGGCCAGTAAATCCCACAGAGACCTAAAAACACAGCCGTGCGACTTAGAAATACGACCCTATTCCCAGGAAGACACGACCATACGTAAATTGGCTCTAATGCGACTGACCGTGGGCCCCATTACGCTGGTCCACCCGGTCTACATCTCCCCAGTCAACGCGCACCCGCTCCTACTGGGCCAGGACCTTCTAAATCGGTTTAAGCCCCTAATAGACTTCCAACGTCTGAAGATCTGGGCACAGGTCCGGGAGCCCTTGCCCATTCCGCGGGCGAGAACCACTGCTACTTCATAGAAGCGCCACCCGCGAACGGCCCACAGCCCGCCGCGGCACAAACCGAAACCGGTCAACGGACGCCCACAACCTGCGCGAACGCCGCGCCCACGAGCACGGCCCCCGACCTCGACAGGTCGGACTTAGCCCCCCCCCGACATGCGGACCCCACACTAGAACGCTCCTTCGCCGTCACGATCAACACGACGCTCGGAATCTCCGGCCGTGATAAAGACGAACCGCCGATACGCCATGGGCTGTTAGGTTCTGCTTCCGATACACTCACTTCGTCGGTACTCGTGGTGCCTCGAAGCATGAGGGGGGTAATGTTGGCACACGCCCATGACGCACCTACCGCGGAACACAGAGGTATAAACAACACACGCCAGGCACTACAACAGGTAGAAAGGACGGACCGGACGGTGACTGAAATACTAAGGTACGTATCCCCAAACCAGATTGACGAGAACGTGAAACTCCCCCGGCTCCTGAGGGCAAACCAATACAGGACCGACCCGCAGGACCACCTGGAACAGACGTTCGCATTTACACAAAAGAAACTGGGAGACAGCGCCGAAGGACGCAAAGCCTACTACGATCAAAAGGCGTCTCGCAACGAGCTCCAGGTCGAATCGTTTAACCAGGTATGGTATTACACCTTGGCACATTCCCCAGGACACGTGGGGACCGGCCCCACCAGACTACGCCGGAAATCGCTACCCCGCTGGTCAGGACCATACAGGGTGGGAAACAAACTCTCAACCGCAGTGCACCAGATCGAGGTCACAAAAGGTAGAGAGCCCACCCTCAGATGGGTCCGTCTCAACCGAACCAAACCACACAAACAAAGCCCCATGGGACAAGCAGGGCACACTACAAACCCCAGTTAGGAACACACCCCGTGACCTCAAACACTATTAGTCCAGCACCCACTAACACTCTTCTCGGCTGTACTAATCGAGTCTCTCTTTCTCTCTCTCTGCCTAACCCCTAACAGTTGTTTCACACCTTGCAAAACATGTGGCCCACTTTCCTCCTCATGCTGACCTGCATACTGTGCCTCGGCACCCCAGAAATTATTGAGACCGGACCAGCCTCCGGAATCGTTTTAAAAGAACAACCCGGGCTCCTCATCACGGACGTCCGACTCCACACACAGCGAATCTTCGTCAGACTCAATCCCAGCCGACGCTATCCTGCATGTAGGCGACCTGGCATTTTACCACCTGTATCCAAACCAGTACGAGGCAGAGGTCGAGGTACCAGAGTTCTTTGAGAAAAGGGCCTTGGAACTTCAACCCTCCACCCTCGTCCAAGCCACCTACGAGGGGGCACAAACCGTTGACGTTACGGTCGTAGACAACCTCCTTCAAGAGATTGCCAAGCAACCGACCATCCACCACCAACCAGTAGCCTACTCCTGGGCCGCCCCCGATACAGTCATGGCCATTGCGGTAGGACTCGGGTACGGCCTGGCCGTAGCCATGGCCTTCGTCCTAAATAGACGGGTTAGACGACTCCGCGATAGCTTTAACAGGTGCACGGAGGCAATGACGAGACAGATCCGTAAACGACCAAACCGGGGCGACAGCGCCGTTGAGCGTGGCAATTTAAAGGTCCTATATCACACTTTTCTTCATGTTTCACACTCAATCCTATACACATGTGTGATATTAATGTGTATGATACACCACACAACAATCAAAGCTTGTGAGATTAGAGCCATCTCTTGTATAGAGGTGACGTCACCTCGACTCAAACGAGCTGATCCAGAGAAGAGTCTGCTCTTCTGCCTGTGAGCCCGCCTCCCCCCGCCCGCACGGTGACGTAGCATCACGCTTTTGTCGTTTATCACCTGTACTTAGTAATTTCATACATAAGAATACACTTTTTCCAACAATGACAATCCGTCACATCGAGCCCTATGTCCTCGATGCACAATCAGACCCTAGTTATTTAGTTTACAGAAGTATACAGCGAGTTAGCGTCACTACTTACAGATCGAGGGGGTCCGAGTTACGTCTTTTACCGTGGGAATAACGTGTTTCCAGATCAGCTTTTGAGTAAGTCCAGTTCCATTGTCCCTGTAGTTCTGGAACAGTCTCAGTGAAGTGTCGCAGATGAACCGGTATTTTAATAGATCCATGAGATGAACAGATGAAAAAAGTCGAGCCGCTTTCTTCCTCTTAGGGCCAAATAGTGTGTCACATATTTACACCCATAACACACTTCATTCAAGTTGACGTGATCCTAACACTTTTAGTTGCTGACAAAAGCATAAAAACAGCAGCTCTATGTGGTGTCCGCGAGACCAGACCACAGACGCTGGACTCGGGAGCCGGGGCCTGTGCGCTCTGATTCGCTGTTTTGATCCGTCAATCACCTCCCGCCGGCTTTTAATTTATTTTTATTTTTATTATTTTTGACAAAAAACAGCATACTAATTGTGTATTGTTTACCCCGTTTTGACAAAAGTATTTAACAACTATTTTAAATACAAAGCAAACGGGGTCATGCGCGTCATGCGCGTCATCAGTGTGGTTTTCGTCACTGAAGTGGACCCGAGCGTTTCTGTGCCTCACGCTGGGGAAGGAGACAGATTGCTCTCTTACAAAAGATTGACAGAATCAATGAATAAACTACTGTGGGCTTGTGTATGAAGGCCAAATAGCATTGTAATCATGTTTAAAGCAGAGAAAAGTCAAAAACCGTGATATGGGCCCTTTAAGTCGGCGCCCCCAAGTCAACGAATCAGAGTACGAGGACCTCCAAAGCCACCCACTCGAGACGGTCACTCTTTCTATCACAGAAGGTGAACCAAGGGCCTAAAACCCCACTAAGAGTCACCAGCTCAGACCCAAACATATCTACCTCGATACCTAATCAGTCTCCTAGACAATCATACCTGTCATCCCCGTTTATATACAGGAAATTCCCCTCGTAATGAAAGCCCCACTTGCAACGTCATATATTCTTGTAACCCTTATACTCCCCTTTTAGAACGAGCAAGATGGGAACCCCTCGCCATCGAGTGCCTTAATGACGCTCCTAGCCGCTGCCAAGACAGCCACCCTTTTTGATTTTTGAAGTTTCATATTTTTGTATCCTAGTCCCCTAAAAATAGAAACTCCTGCTAATCTCTCGGCTTGGAACTTTGAGTCTTCCAGACCAAGAGACCCAGGAGTCAGGCGCACCGGCCCAAACCCTAGAGTTCACGGCCGTGGCTCACTCCCTGAAACCCCTGATCCTGGTTAGAACTAGCCTGCAGGGCCAGGACTCGCCTTAGAGAAAACCCGGCCTCGACAAACCAAGCCAGAGGCCCGAGACCCAACCGCCACGAGCCTGGCCCCAGTTAGGCGCTTGCGAATTACTGAGTCACATTAAGGCGAGAATGTTGTAGCATGTCACCACAAATCACGCGCTAACACCCGAACAGGCGAGACGACCGACTGAGGATACCCGCCCGGCATATCCGACATGACATGCACCTTGTCGGAAGGTGCATCTCTGCCGTGGGGGGGGTATGTAAGGTGAATTAAAGGACAGCCAGTCGGACGTTGACCAGCAAACCAGGATATGTAAACATACCCTCCTGAGCATGACCCATCTTGAGGCCCATCAAAGGGACTGTGGGGTCAACCGAGGGACTACCATTTGTGAGGAAGATTACAGGCGTCAAGCAGAGCAATAAAATCACCAACGGGAATAAACATCGCTGTCTCTGCCTGCCTGAAAGACCAAGGGGCCAGAGCTCTGCCCCCACTCCCAGGGGCAGCATGGCCCTGAGACAATCTGTGACTCACCCACGGCGCTATGGCGCCCCCCAGTGGACACTGAACACTATCACACCCGGGACGGACAGTCTAAACAATCACCCGTGAGGCCATTATTCGGATAACCTGTATTGTGCCCTACACGTGTGTATCGTTGTCAGTAATGTAAATGCGTTGTGCGCCTGTACATGTGTTATGAATGTTGGTATTAATCCTGCATCCGATTGTGAATGTCTGCGTGATGTGTTTTTGCCTTGGGACATGTTGGTCCAGAGAGACGCACAAGGATGACGTCACGGACGCGCCCCCTTTGGAAGTCAATATAAACACACACAATGCAGTGATACGATCTCTTGGTTCTCCCTTGTAATCACTTTAACAACTCTACCCTTTCGGTACGCGTCTCCTACGCGGCCTACGCCAGCCACTTTTGGGCCTGTACATCCACGAGGACAGCAGCCACCCCGCTGTTGGAGACAAGGACTCTCCATCGCCAGCCACCCTCGGGCTCCCTGGACACCCCACCGCAACATCATTCTAGACCGTGTTGTGTGCGGAACCCACGTCTGGATCCGACCTGCTGGCTTCCTCCTGCTCCCGTCCGGACAAAGGACACGTGGACGACACCCTCGCTTTCCCCATCTCCATTCTTCATTCTTCATTCTCATCCTCTCCACTGCCTTCCATCGTCCTTACCCCTTCGGACTTCTCAAAAGTAAGTAAGTAAGCTTTATTTATATACCGCCTTTCACAGACCAGAGTCACAAAGCGGTTTACAATTGTTATTTTTTTTGGGCATTTGTCTCTCGCTCCACACAGAGATGGGAGCGGGGTCGCCGAATAGGAGGCGCATGCCAGACCTATTGTACATATTTTTAGTGGTAGGGGAAACCGGAGTACCCGGAGGAAACCTACGCAGACACGGGGAGAACATGCAAACTCCACTCAGAAAGGCCCTGGTCCGGCCGGGATTCGAACCCAGGACCTTCTTGCTGAGAGGCGAGAGTGCTATCCACTCAGCCACCGTGCCGCCAAAAGTAAGACTGTTCTTTGTTGGAATGTGATTTAAATGATATGTATGACATCTTTACTTAATGTGACCAGAAAACCCCTTTTCGTTGATATTTTCTATTTTCATTTTTGTAGTCAATAAACCCACGTTAATTTTAACTCATTCATTTCAGCGTCGTGTTTTTAAGTCTTGGATATCCCTGGCCGATTTACGTACTCAAAACCATCAGATTTATGATACTGGTATTGAGGCAAATTAGTTGGATCTGTGCAGAAGTTTTCAAACTCTGTTGGTGCCCAAAATAAAAAGCAGATCCCCAACTCGTGTAGTACGGCGAGACTCTGATCTGGAGACTAGCCGCACTTCACTACATTTTCATTTACCCCACATATATAATTACCTTTCACATATACTACACATCATACATACAATCTATTCACTCATCTTGAGAGAAAACACTCCCAAATAAAAGCACATACAAGCTTGAAATGTTATGAATATGTATGCTATTTTTTATTTATTTAACGTTTGGTGTATTCATAGCCTGATCTTACCATATTATCATACTCATATAATTTCATACTAAAGGTGTTCACTTCTTTTGCAGATTGGATCAGAGTTTAGTTTACTGTGACGTAATATGCCTGAGTGAGTGAGGCATTTCTTGACGTCACCAACACCTACCCCGAAACACCCGCCTCCCTCGCTTGCGTGTAGGAGGGGATTCAACCAGTCTCTAAGTAGGGCCACTAAGATCAGACCCAGATGTACATGTTGGGAAATGATAATTGATAGAAGTTTAAGGATGGCTAAGAACAGGCTAGGGTATTTATAGTAAAATTACAAAATCAAACAATATTGTAAAAAAGGTTGTTCTGAAAGACACATGTTTGTCTGTACCTTGGTCTGCCGGTCAATGGTTGACAGGGCCAGTTCACTGATGCGAGGCAGGAAGGGGTCCATGAAAATCACAGGTTTCATGTCTGAAAACGGCACCGCAAAGTTCAGCCTCTTCTCAGAATCCCAGGCCACAAACTTCTTCATAATCTCCTCAGAGGAAACAACTTAACCAGAAAAAAACAATTTATTACAAAGGATTTGATAGAACAGATAAATGCTAGTGCTTCTAAACAGTGTTTTACCAGCTACAAGGTTTCTGTTGAGTTTTCCTCCCAAATGACCGAGCAGCTTTACCACTCTGAGGCGTACAGAGACCAAAGGAGCATCTTCCTGCATTAACACACACACTCATGTATCACATATGTAACATTTTCTTATGTAGAATTCACATTATAGGATCAGCTTAAATAGCCAGAAACATGTAAAATAGAGGACTCTGTCAATCAGCTCTCAGCCCCAAAGCAACAACTACTGACTCACAGGGCTGTTTCTCACAATTATACAAAGATGTTTTCTAATTAGATAAATACAGATTTTTTCACTAATTGTTATTATAAAAAAAAAAAAAAAAAAAATGCATTATTTATGGAAAACAAAAATAGGGATCCTTGCTTAAAATAATATAGTAACAAAAAAAAACATACATTGAAAGGGATTGCACCAGAATCAAAATGTCTATGATTCTGAAGTTGAACCATGAGAGCAAACCAACTGACATTGGTTTGCTCTCATGGTTCAATAAAATGACAGTTCTCAAACAATGCATTTGATTTCTTCTGATTAAATATTGTTTGTGTATTATTTCAAGACAAAACGCTACTAAATTACACAATACAGAAATACTGTACCACAGACAGCTGCTTGGATTGCTTGAGCAGTCTGGTCATGACTCTGCTGTAGCCTTTGTCACTTCTGGCTGACGCAGACGAGATCACCTCCCAGTTGTTGTCATCTTTGCCTAAGATCAAGTTCAAAAACATTTTAAATCTACATTTGTTCTATAATGAATGCTATCCTTATAGCTTACTGTCATTGGCAGTGGTTTTGAGGTATCCATCCAGGAGAGGGAGGATGGTGGTGTAGCAAGGTTGCATTATCTCCAGTGGAATATAGTTGGACCAGTCTTCAAGAGCGTCCAGGCCGGTGTTCGCCAAAGGCACATGGCTCAGACCGAGCTTCAGAGCTGCCTGTGGTTCAAAGTTTCATTTGTCAAAAACACAATCATCCAATAAAAAACAACAATGTGTGAATCTAATATAAAGGACAGAGTGTTTGGAAAGTGAAAGTGGCTGATTTTGCATTAGATATTTTTCTTCTCAGTTTCTTTAATAGATCAATTCTTGATTACAAGCCCTGGTTATAGACCCACCCATGCTCACCCCTGCAGCGTCCTGATTGGTCAAACTTGATTTAAATCCTTGATACTCATCGTCATTGGTTTAAAGTAGCAATATGTACAATTTTCATGTCAAGTCATCATTAAATGGCCCTAATCTGTCAAAAGGCAAAACATTCTCTTTTCAAATATTTCCTTAGCTGATAACAGTAGTTCAGCAAAGATATTTGGATTTCAAAATTATTTCTATAGCCCAGATATCGTGTTATTGTTTTAATTTTGGATGTCCCACCCTCCACCGTTTTACCGATCAGAAAGTCAGTGATCCGGTTTGCCAGAACTCACTGCGGCGAGCTAATCTCAACGCTGGACCGCAGAACTCGTTATCTAAAATCATTACTGACAAGGAATAAAAAGATTTCTATCTTTGAGAAAAAGGTTTTGGTTATAGATTTGTTGTTGACAAAACTCTATTCAGATATTATTGTCCTGGCTGGATTTGTCTGCATATCTGGCAACCTGAGTCAAGGAGAGTAGTACCACTTTTGGCCAGATTTGTATATACTGCTCGTTTAACTATTGTCCTCCAAAGTTATGACAAAGGGAGGGAGGACTATAAATATATAATTGTTGTGCATAATACAACAATAGTAGTGTCCTATGGTCAGACATATATTATTTAAAAAATTAAATACAATTTAAGTTGCTGACATCTATAGAGTTATTCTATCAATGATAATTTTATCATTAGAAATTACATTTTCACCTCTAAAGCCGGAGAATAGGCCTTTATGTCCAGGGCGATGATGTTATGATGCAGCGAAAGAACAAAAGTTAAGCAGGAAGCCAGGAGCTCATCTTTGTACTGCTTCATTTTAACACACACCTGGCACAGAAACAGAGGGTTAAGATCCCAATAAAACAACATGTTTTGGAAAATATTGTTGAAATAAATTACCTCTTTTCCAAACTTTGAGAACAGGGAAAAACAGGCACTTTTAACAGAATCCATTTGGCCAGATTCAGAGCTCTTTAGCCCCACTCCCTGAATCAAGTTACAATAATGACGTTAACATATAAATATTATGATACCAACACATACAGAAACATTTACCTGATAATATTTGATTCTTTTGCCAATTTTCATTGTGACAGACAGAAGTTTATAAAAGCCACTGACGAGAGGGTTTTGTATGGAGTGGAGGATGAGCTCATGGCTTAAGGGATACATCCACGATTCAAAATAGTCCAAATGTCGAGTCAGCAACAACTCGCTGCAAAAACAATATTGTAGTTTAGGATCTATTACATGTAATTGATTGGATATATACACATATATCTGTGGCATTGACCTGCAGAAGTCCACTAGGTTTATAAACGCAGTAAAATCTTTAACTTTGTTTGGTAAGAGATGAGCAGTTGGATCAGATGAAGGGAGGGCATGGGCCAGGTCCTCAGAGGCCTAATGATAAGAACATAGATTTTAGTTACATAAACAAATATACAGATTTTTTTACTTTAAAGACATGAGGGAGGAAAACCCCTTTGTTTTATAATACAATACAATACAATTTATTCTTGTATTGCCCTAGGTCAGAAGTCATCTCAGAGGACTTAACAAAACCATTGAAATCACCAACACAGATCAGAGAATCAACAGTTAAAACACATGAAGAATATAAAGCACACACAGAAGAAAATGTCCATACATGTTGTAGAATGCTAAAGTGTCCTGATCATCACCACCAATCCTTTCCGTTGGACACTAACTGTCCAACAAGACCCCTCCCAAGGAAAAACTCTTAAAAAACCCAGTGGGAAAAAGTGAGAAACCTTGGGGAGAACTAGGGAAACCCACAGGGAGGGAGACCCATTTTGGAAAAAGGTAGTAAGCACTTTTTGACTAATTTAATATATTAATCAAACATACAGTATAAAGTAGCAATTTCTCTAAAACAATTGTTATTTTTTCTACTTGTAAAAAGTTACTGCAGTACTAGTACAGTGTGTATGGTGTTTCCCTGAACCAGACCGGAGCAAAGAGGATTCACCGTCTGAACCAAGCAGACCAAGTGGAAATCCACTGGAGGAATGCCAATGAAAAATGTGAATAAAGCATTCAGCATTTTCCCTCTGGACTAAAGCAGAGAAAATGGTCCAAAACCAGAGGCTACACAACCTCTGCTCCTTTGAAGTGCTGTTACATTTTAATACATAATTCTAAAAGAAGCTAACAATAGTATTTATTTATTTGTTCATATGAATGGATGCGTTTCTGCTGCTGGATTTCTCAAAAGGGAGATCAATAAAGTATCTACCTAGTATCTTTCCATCTAAACTTTCTTACTCAATCATGAAATCATAGCGCATAATTTAAGGTGTGTTGAATGAACGGGTTACGCACTTCTGGAAAATAATACAAGGAAACTCAGTGTTGTGCGTGAACGAGTTCAAAAGAACGCGTTCATTGAACACTCATTTTTTTGTGAACGTTGAACTGAACGCAACACATTTTTAAAAAAAGAACTTGAACGTGATTTGGTTCATTTTATGTGTCATGAACGGCAGACATCACTGTGAACGTTGGAATCTGTTTTCTCTTTTGAAACGCAACGAGAGAAAGTTTCTCCCTCCTGTATTCTCGCACTTTTTCCACCGAAATCTAAAAATTCCTACGGTTTCCACCGTCTGTGAACGTACCCCGACTCTGTGTTGCGGTGCGGCGCTGTGAGCTGGTGCTTTTCACATGTTTCCGAGTCGTGATGAAAACACAGGGTGAGTTAGCGACAAAGTTTACACCGTTTACATTTGCAGCGCATTACTGTCTGTAGTTTATGAGCAGAGATGGGGCAACTCCGTTTTGCTCCCATTGAAAACCATGTAAATCTTGTCTGTTTTGTAGTCAAAAGGCTCTCCTCCTGTGGGTGTACAGGAGATATATATATAGCTCGTAGTGTGAAAAAAAATATTTGACTATTTCACGAAAAAAGTAAAATGAACTGAACTTTGAACTAGTTCAGAGTTAAAATTGTGAACTTTGAACGTGAACTGTTCACTTTGAGCATGTATGAACTGAACTTGAACTAGTTCAGAAAAGTTGTGAACTGGCACAACACTGAGGAAACTACAGTACACAGAATATACCTCTTCTCCTGTGACCTTTTGAACAGACAGGTCCAGCTTCTCCACAATGCGAAGAATAGATTTCACCAGTTCGTCGTAAATAAGTTGACTTAAAGACTTCAGGGCAGCGTTTTGGCTTTCGAAAGCACCATCCAAATATCCTGTATCCTTTGAAAGCAGAAAAATAACATGCCGAATATAATCCATTTTCAATAAGAAGAAGCCATCTTAATACGTTACCTTTAGCAGATGGCAGTTCAGAAGGCTTTTGTACAGTGCCAAGTAATTCTGACTAGAAGGAACTTTCCAGTTTCCAGTTCGCATTTGAGATTCTGCTGCATTTTCAGCTTCTTTGTCCTAAAATATGAGTATGTAACACACTTATGCTAAGAGTATCTCCATTCATTTCATTATAGTGTTATAATTCTCAAAAATTACCTCAATCAATAGTGGCTTTGAACAAACTCGGATCAAACCTTGGTGAACTGAAAATAGTGTTTTTATTACATATTGGGAAAGAAAAAAAATACACATTAAATGGTTAATTGTGAGAATGGTTCATAATGAATTCAAATGGCACTTAACTTACCCACAGAGCTGATAAAACCCCAAAGCACCGGTCCTTTAGAAGCCATCGCCACCAGCACTTTGAGAATTGCCCTGCAGCACGTGGTCTGCATCCGCTCGCTGTACTGAGGGAAGCTGTCGATCTGCACCACAAGGAGGCGCTCTAGCAGTGGAGTGTACACCTCTGGAATCTAAAAATTTGAACATTATAGTGGAAAAGTTAAATGCTAAATAGGGGTTCTAAACTAAATTCAATAACATTTATGGTCATTGGTAATCTGCCTGTGGACCAATACAATTTGATTTGTTTAGCAACTCGCAGCCGAGCTTCCATTCCCTTGAAAAAGTTATAAGGAGAAGAACGAAACGTTGGGAAAACCTGCTAACCGAAGTAGCTATGATGAGTGAGAAACCTTCTTTTTTTTTTTTTTCCATTTCTTGTGTTTGAACTGTTTGATTCGCTGATTGGGTACACATAACCAGTGTTATGTGTACTGGTTGCGACCCAGTACACATAACACTAGCCCCTCCCTAATCCTCCTGCAGGTGGCGAGTCCACAGGAGGACGGCTGCCCTATGGCAGAGCCTTGATCTTTCAGGGGGGGTTTGAGGCAAAGTGGGATTGAGGACACAACGACAACAGACATCAGTGGGAGTCGGTGGAGAAGGTCTCGTGGTGGCCTCGAACCCATGACCTTCAGGCTCAAAGGTCAATGCTGTACCAACTGAGCCACTGTCGTCTATATTCTATGATCTGTGTTGGCAAATTCATTGGTTTTGTAAAGTCAAGTTTGTGAGTTAGGGCTATACAGGAATAAATTGAATTGAATTGAATTTAATTATAATGCTCCAAATGTCAAAAAAGAAGGCTTCATTGTTTTTACCTTAGCAAGCAGCAATTATTGGGGTTTTTGAAAAATAAATAACTCATGACATGCGCTGCGAAACTAACAGTGTTATTGGTATAAGTGTTTTTCTTATCCAAAGTGTGAAATTGCTTGTCTTTCTTTTTTAATAAAGAAAGGCACAATAAGGAGAAAGCACTCGTAGAGCACGGACATCCACCATGAGGCGCAGTTTCATTCCATTAAATTAAATCCTCTTACTGAAATGTCATAGTAATCTGGTCTGAGTCTGAGTTGTGGTGTGAAGTTGTTAACCAGTGTTTCCCAAGTTACTCTGGAAAATGTAAAAACATATACAAAATAATACATTCTGTGTCTCTGTATCCATATTTAGATCTCTTACAGAGTGTAATCATGTTCACAAAGTCATTTGTGAAAGCTACCTTGTCCAGATGTATGAGGACACTGGCGATGGAGTCCAGGAAACTTGGCAGCTGGTAGAAAGACTCGTCCTCTCTGTCAGACTCCGTGAGATACATCTGCTTACAGCGCTGGATCAGCTCTGTGTACATCAGGTCCACGTCCTGGGGGCACACCTTCTTACACGGCTGCAGAGGAAACACAAAACATTTGATCTGATGTATCATTTGTCCTTTGTGGAAGTAAATATATTTTTTATGTGAGGCTTGCTTTCAGGTGTCTGTCTGTGCTTTGTTCATATGGACAGCCTGCTATCTAGAATATACATGATTTTCGTAAGTACAAAATTATGCCTGTAAATCGTAAATGTTAATCCATCAAGGTTTCTTATATTCTGGATATTTCAATGACTTTTGTGAATTTGAGAAACAAGATCTAAGCATTCCATTTTAAAACTCCTATGTCCTGGGAAAATGGGATATTCCACGCACAAAACTACTTACAGCAGCGAATAATCCATATCCTCGAATGGCGATAGATAACTCCTTATGTGTCGAGTCCATGGTTTTTATAATGCCACAAAACGTCTGCATGAAGAACTTCAATTTGCCTTTGTGCTCCTCTATATCATTAGCCACCAACATGGCAACCTAGAAAATAGAATTTAGAGATGATAATCCAGTTTTTGGACAGAAAAGGCTAACGTTTAAGAACACACAATGCTTTCACCTGCTTGAGAAAGGCTTCCAGTGCATAATAGCTGGTTTTCTTCATCTCTGCATTAATGTGTCCACACAGTTTTGACATTGCCTCAAAAATGGTTTTATAGTGATCCATTAGACATGTGCTAAACTGACATGCATGTCTCCCAAAGAGCTTCAATCCAGCTGCAAAGGACAATGACAGAGAATATTGTAACTTATATGAAAATACTTTTTTCTTTTCGATATAACAGATGGGTATTGAAAATATAAACAAATATTTGAATTTCAATAATTTACTAAATGATTTGTTCTTAACAAAAATCAAAGTCAGAATGTTCATTGTTTCTATAGACTACAGACTTACCAAACATGACAGCATATCGGGTCATTTCCATCTATACAAATTGACAAGAATATTCTCTTAAATTAAACAATGGCAAATGTACAGTAAGAGGATGACAGAAAACTACATTTACCTGAGGGCTGATGGCTTTTAAGGCATACTGAAAAATGTCTTTGGATGTTGTTGGGTCTGTAAGCGGAATATGCAAACTTGTTACCAAACAGAACTGTGTGTGTGAGAGAGTGAGAGAGTGAGTGAGGTCTTGTGCCAAATTGTTGAATTGAATATGTTGTATATATGCCTGTTCTTTGTTGATAATAAATGTACCTGTCTCCTCAAATAATTGACATCATGTTCCCTAAAGTATGTTAGTGTTATAAAAGTATGCATCTGCCACTGACCTTCATCCATTGTCTTGGTAAAGTTCACCATCAAAGCCGTCAACCCTTTCAAACATCCAGCAACGACAAAAAGTTTGGGTTCCTTTGTTGACGAGGTCATCTGAGTCAAAAGCATAATTCATTAGGAACACGATGTGCACACTTTACTTATTACTTTTCAGTACTTGTTCTTTTAACTCTCCCAGAAAAGCCTTGTAGAGTCTGTCTGAATTGTTGACCATTTCATTCGGATGGACCTCGGCAAGGACTCCCAGCAATTCATAAATTTTACCAAGCACTAGAAGAACACACAAATTGGCATGAATAATGTGTGCACTGAGTTTTAGGTGATGCTTTTTCATTTTATTTACCTGAATCTGGGAGTTTGTTTTTCTGACATAACTCCATGTAGAATTTGTTAAAGATATCTGGCACTTTCAAATCTGCAACAACAGTGGAGGCTTTTGTTGTTTGAAGGACCTGTGAAACAGAAAGATTAGAGTGTCTATTCAGTTGACGGTTACAACATTGCTTTTCTAACAAAGTATGTATAGATGTTGAGATGTTTCCTTTGACATGTATACTTGTTTGGCTCACTGCACAAAATACATCTCGCTACAACATAAGACATTGACTATTGTTCATGGAGAATCTCACAGAAGCCATACCTTGATAAGCAGATCCAGCACTGGCCCTCTGCTTTTGGCCAATTTATCTTTGGTGTACACCACCATACAAGTATCCTGAGTATGAGCAGATAAACATCAAGCAAAGAGCAATGATTTTCTGACACCATGCTGTCAACTCAACTTACTTTAATGTCAGTTGCATATGTCTTCTCCCAGTCACGGACTCGCAGAGAAATTTTGTCCAAAAACTTGTCCAAAAAAGATAAAATGTCCACACGAGCATCACGGAGCTAGACAAATCAGAACGATCATAAAAAAATGCAAACTCACTGCTTTATATTCCCACTATATAGAGTCAGAGAACTACCTCATCAGACGACAGGGATTTTCTGAGGAAGCACAGTAGTCCATAGTCTTTAGAAAACAACAAGGATGTCTGCAAAGCTTTGAACAACAAACAAATGTATTTGAACAAATATAAAACAATCAATACATATATTGCAACAACCTAAAAGTATTGTTTCCAGAGGCACTTATTTAGTTACAGAAAACAATCTATTGCACAATGTTGGAATTGACAAAATGTACGATTTGACATTGATACAAAATCATATGAAACTGTGAATGCTGATTGTTCAAAATTACAAAAAAACTTAAAATATTCAACCAGATAGCAGAATTAGCATCACATGAGACTACTCTTTTAGTTTGTAATGTCTTTGTTGAAAGCAGCCTTAGTTTCCGCATCTTAGCAAAAAACAGGTTATCATTTGCACACTTAAGAGCCCTGGGAGTCTCTATTGGACGCGTTTGGCTTAGACCTTTCACTTTTCTGTATGAGAAAGCTGATCACAAGAACATGATATGACAGGAGGCCAAAAGTGTGCATGTGGAAACTAGGAATACTAAAGATAGATGGATTGCATAAACAGTACCATAGTTTGTGGAGTGAAAAGTTACCTCAGCTTTACGTGGGTGAATGTTTACTTTCTTACCGACTTCATGATCGGATGGAGTGAGCATGCATTCTTGCCCCAGATCTCCAACAATATCATGGCATCTGAGAGCAGCCCCCCGAACATCCTCATCCGAAAGTGACTCGTGAAGTGTGAGAAGAAGTCCGTGTACCCCTCCTGCGGTGGGTCCGGAGGTCGGGGACATGACTGCAGCTGCTCAGTCCTGGGCCAGGTTCAATGGTGCTTTATTCAGAGTAAAGTCCTGCTCCCCGCCACTGCTCCAAAACTCTGCTCACCTCTCACATCAGGAAGAGTCCAGGAAGTGCCCAGCGGTTTTTTCAAAGTAAAACTGTAGTGCAAGAAGTTATACCTTTTTTAAGACTTTTAAAATCAACTTGGAGCTGCGAGAACCAATTTTTGAAAATACATTTTACTCACAGGGTTCTGCCTTATAAGTATGCAAGATATACAATGATATCTAATAGTAATAAAAAGAATGTGGTCTGATTTGTATATGGAACTATATCAATCCTAGGTTCCGCACATTTAAGTTAAGCCACAGAGGCAAATGAATAGGAGAGGGGAGGATAGGGGTATTTTTTATTCAGGTGCTACTTTGACAATGATAAGGTTGAAACAATACCATCTTTTGATTTTATTATCAATAATATTTTTGATTGTTTTATGCCAAAACATCACCATCCATCTACGCGTTTAATTTGTACCTCACATGGCATACAATATAATAAGTGAAGAAAACAAATGGAGTTTTGCTTTCTGAGGGATGGTTTTGATCACTACATATGATTTGCCAGCAGATGTCAGCCTCGTGTTATTTATAAATCCGATGAAGTAGCCTGAGTAATCTGATGTGTTGACATCATAGATGTGAGCAAAGCCAACACGTGGCATTGGATTTACTATTACAAATATGTTCTATAACACAGTGTATCAATCTTCCCCATACTTTAGCCATCAAAAGTATGCATTTGTACCAGGCAGTAATTATTATTATTTTACTGATGTTAATCATGCAATGAGTCAAATGGATATTATTCTGTGCCCTTGTAAAACACTTGGGGATCTACTTGAAGGCGTATCCAATGATAGATTCCAAATAGGTTGGTGACCACTGCTATTATACACATTATAAACGTTTGTCTGTAACCTAGGCACAATACAGTACTAAGGAGACTAGTATAATAATCATGACTCCCAAAGACACTTTACATGGCATTATTCATTCACTCCCCACAATGTGGTGGTAAACTCATACTGTAGCCACAGCCGCCCTGGGTCAGACTTAGGAGCGAGGCAACTAATCAGTTTGGACAGCTGGTGTCCCTATAGATCTGCCATCACAGGGCTGAACAGGTCCTGTCCCTCTTAGCTGTGTCTGGGATGATCAGGCTTTCACAAGAGTTAACACTCTGAGCCATGTCACAATCATTGATTTTTGTTATTATTTCATTAATATATAATTTATTATGCATTGATGAAATAATGATACATTGATGTATTAATAATCAAACGTATTTTTAAAAAAAAGGGGGAAAAAAAGAACTGTGTTTAATTGGAATACATTTTACTGGAACCCTGTTGGGGTTCGAGTCATTTTGTTTTTTGTAATACATACATACACATTCGTTTTAAGAAGACCCACAACATTTTCCATCCACCTGTTGCAGTGCGAGGTGGGTCACGTGAGCACAAGCCCAAACTCTCTGCAGCGACCAATGACAAGTGACACAGCAGTCACGTGGTGCGAGGAGCCCACTCTGCTCCCTCACAGATCCACAGAGCGAAGAGCTGGATCACAGACTGTCTGGAGCGGAGAGGGAGATTACGTTCGGCCGCGGACTATCCTCCGTTCTGCTGAACCGGTGTCGCGTCGTTCTCCAAGTATCACGGATGTTCCCGGCGGAGATGGCAAGTTGCATCAGCACAGGTACAGTTCTCAGGAGAGATTTTGAGAAGTTTGAGACAGATGTTTCCGCGCGATGACACTTGTTGGAGCTGGATGAACGCGCCGCTCTGCTCCTCTTTCATCCAAACAAACGACACCATACAAAGTACCATTGGATACTGAGTCAAATGTGCCAGCATCTCACACACACACATGTGTGTATGAGGAAATATGTTTTCTTTATCGTACTTTTAAGAAAGAGTCCTGTTAGACTGGTTGGCCACTGTGGAGAGCTGATGGCTGAGGGAAGGTGGTCTACTCTTTTTCACTTTTCTGTCTGAAAAGCTGATTTAAATATGTGGCACTGATAATTTCTGTTGATGGAACAAACTGGGGTTTGTGGCTAGAAAGTTAGGCACCCCTGCTTTAATGACTCACAAGATATATGGTCCATCATTATAACATGTTAATAGATAGCCTTTAATTCATCTTATTCTGTTTTGGGGCATTTCACCCAAATCATTTGTTGATATTGTTAGCGGTGTTCAAAAAATAAAAAGCATGATTAAATCTAGTTTATCCATCTCAAAGGCCTGTTAAAGGGGAACTTAACGTGCCTTTTGTACTTGAATTTCTTTAATAACTTTACCTGACAATACGCCCATTCAACTACAAGGGAAATGTGATTTCTTTTCTTCTCATTCTTGCAGTGTTCATCTATCCCTGAAGTGTTGCCGCGTTGTGTTTGAATATTTGGCTTGAAGACTGGAATTACTTCTTCCTCGGCCTCTGGGCCACTGGACTCCACAGAAGACATGTTTGCTGCCATGCTTCGCCAGACTTCCAGCGGTGGGAATAGCACCAACAGCTAGCACCAGCAGTGGGGCCAAGATTACAATGGGAATCTCCAGGCTTTCCAGCACCAGTCTGGGTTCCTCTGGCTCTGGGTATGCGGACCTTATGTATCGGGAAAGAAGGGAACAAGAAGCGGAACTGTGTCCCAGACTGGGGGGGAGGGAGGGGTCGAACAGCCCAGATGGCACCTGTGTCAGATCCACAACTACTTGCATGCAGCGGCGTCAGATCGATGTGCGCAAGTTTTGCTGATGTCCTGTTGCAGCGCAAGGAAGGTGTTTATCTCCACATGGTATGGACTGGGAAAACCCTGTGTAACACTACTATCCGCTGTGGTGTAAATGTGGTAGTGCTGCACCATTCCTCGGAATATTTTAGTGGCCTTGCAAATTTACAAATCAACAACGCCTACTCAGCTAATTGATTTGTTTATGTTTTTTGTGAGATTTTTGCCGTAGTCTTGTTTTTTCAGTGCTTTAATCACAGGCTCTACAAGTCAACATCAAATGTCCAAACAAAGATGATTACTTATTGAAATTTTTGTGGGAGAAAATAATAAGAATAACATAATTTCTCGCATAATATTTGTCCTTTAATATCCTGCAGACCCCTAATATGTTGTTCCCTTATCATCTAGTTGATAGTATGGAACAATGACAAGGAGGAATGAGTGTCAGGAGATTGTTTTGTGTTGGTGTTGTAAGATCATTGTGCAATCTGTTGCTTTAGGTTGGTAATCACGGTTCCTTGAGTACCAACATCAGCATCTATGTTGCCACACTGCAGCTTTGAATGTGTGTTATGTCAGTGTCATGGACGTGGAAAAGCCCCATTTAGTTATCCTAAAGCTTTTAGCATCAAAGTGAACTGAGGTTCTTCAGTCACATTCTATTCTGGGTACAATAGACGGGTGTGTATGACTTGGGCCACAGAGATTTCTAATGGTATTCCGAGCTGCCAAATGAAATCTTGAGGTTAAGTAATGTTGCTTGCACCACATTTGTACACAGTGCCAGGGCTATCTGCCTTTTCTGTCCCTTTGTGGCCTTGGCTCTGCGGTCAATCAACCTACCTCTACACTTTCCACTGAACACAACATTGTTTCCCACAGATTTTACAGAAGCACAGTCCATATTCTTTGTATCAACTACAACTTTTGGAGTTTTGCCTTCATTTTTTGCACTCACTTGATTTGGTCTTGTTGGCTGCTACCTGGTTTAGTGTACACTACGTTGTTTTGATATGCAAATTGATATGGTCGTATTCGAGTGCCTCAAAGTAAGTATGTAGTGGGCTTTTCACTTGACAGGGTCATCATGATTAAAGATGGCCTGTATTTTTTTGATACAGCTACTTTTATATCTTCATGCAATGATCACTAATGCCGACCTCATTATAATGATATATCCACAGATGATTTAGTAAGATGTCTCTTTTACCTTACATGGGACTTAAAGGCGCAACTCACCCTCAAAGCCACTTTTTTTTTACTGAATAAACGGTTTAACAATGAGTGTTCCAAATTGTCGTTGATCTACATTTCCTGGTCACTGATTCTTGTACACTTTGGTGCAAATTGAGTGCTTGAAAGTTTGACTTTTCTGCCCTAAAAACCGTCTGATGAGGCGCCACTCTGGCATTGGTCGACCTGTATTAACTACATTTGAATTTTGAATCTGGCCGCCAACACTGGCACAGAAGTTGGACCTGACGTTCTCGCAAGTTGGACCTGACGTCAGCAGCCCCCCGCCCAGGATGCAATTGTATACGGACCCAGTCTCGTTTCTCGTCCCCCTTTAGTCCCTACCAGGCTACGGCCCATTAGTAGGGAAGATTTGATCAGGAATGTGGGTTAACGTATGTTCGGGTGGAGCGGGGGTGAGAAAACCACATTGAAACATGCTGGATGGTCCAGTATATTAACTAATTGCAATACCCTGCCTAAAATCATACACTTGATTATTTACCACAATAAAGGAACAGGGCCTACCTCGACATGTTTCGCAGTTGCCACACGTGCCTTACGTGGGTTGGCTGCTCCAATGAGTCAAATGGATATTATTCTGTGCCCTTGTAAAACACTTGGGGATCTACTTGAAGGCGTATCCAATGATAGATTCCAAATAGGTTGGTGACCACTGCTATTATACACATTATAAACGTTTGTCTGTAACCTAGGCACAATACAGTACTAAAAATGGAGACTAGTATAATAATCATGACTCCCAAAGACACTTTACATGGCATTATTCATTCACTCCCCACAATGTGGTGGTAAACTCATACTGTAGCCACAGCCGCCCTGGGTCAGACTTAGGAGCGAGGCAACTAATCAGTTTGGACAGCTGGTGTCCCTATAGATCTGCCATCACAGGGCTGAACAGGTCCTGTCCCTCTTAGCTGTGTCTGGGATGATCAGGCTTTCACAAGAGTTAACACTCTGAGCCATGTCACAATCATTGATTTTTGTTATTATTTCATTAATATATAATTTATTATGCATTGATGAAATAATGATACATTGATGTATTAATAATCAAACGTATTATTTAAAAAAAAAGGGGGAAAAAAAGAACTGTGTTTAATTGGAATACATTTTACTGGAACCCTGTTTGGGGTTCGAGTCATTTTGTTTTTTGTAATACATACATACACATTCGTTTTAAGAAGACCCACAACTTTTCCATCCACCTGTTGCAGTGCGAGGTGGGTCACGTGAGCACAAGCCCAAACTCTGCAGCGACCAATGACAAGTGACACAGCAGTCACGTGGTGCGAGGAGCCCACTCTGCTCCCTCACAGATCCACAGAGCGAAGAGCTGGATCACAGACTGTAGGAGCGGAGAGGGAGATTACGTTCGGCCGCGGACTATCCTCCGTTCTGCTGAACCGGTGTCGCGTCGTTCTCCAAGTATCACGGATGTTCCCGGCGGAGATGGCAAGTTGCATCAGCACAGGTACAGTTCTCAGGAGAGATTTTGAGAAGTTTGAGACAGATGTTTCCGCGCGATGACACTTGTTGGAGCTGGATGAACGCGCCGCTCTGCTCCTCTTTCATCCAAACAAACGACACCATACAAAGTACCATTGGATACTGAGTCAAATGTGCCAGCATCTCACACACACACATGTGTGTATGAGGAAATATGTTTTCTTTATCGTACTTTTAAGAAAGAGTCCTGTTAGACTGGTTGGCCACTGTTGAGAGCTGATTGGCTGAGGGAAGGTGGTCTACTCTTTTTCACTTTTCTGTCTGAAAAGCTGATTTAAATATGTGGCAATGATAAATTCTGTTGATGGAACCAAACTGGGGTTTGTGGCTAGAAAGTTAGGCACCCCTGCTTTAATGACTCACAAGATATATGGTCCATCATTATAACATGTAATAATAGCCTTTAATTCATCTTATTCTGTTTTGGGGCATTTCACCCAAATCATTTGTTGATATTGTTAGCGGTTCAAAAAATAAAAAGCATGATAAAATCTAGTTTATCCATCTCAAAGGCCTGTTAAAGGGGAACTTAACGTGCCTTTGTACTTGAATTTCTTTAATAACTTTACCTGACAATACGCCCATTCAACTACAAGGGAAATGTGATTCTTTTCTTCTCATTCTTGCAGTGTCATCTATCCCTGAAGTGTTGCCGCGTTGTGTTTGAAATTTGGCTTGAAGACTGGAATAACTTCTTCCTCGGCCTCTGGGCCACTGGACTCACAGAAGACATGTTGGCTGCCATGCTTCGCCAGACTTCCAGCGGTGGGAATAGCACCAACAGCAGCACCAGCAGTGGGGCCAAGATTACAATGGGAATCTCCAGGCTTTCCAGCACCAGTCTGGGTTCCTCTGGCTCTGGGAATGCGGGACCATTTGTATCGGGAAGAGGGAACAAGAGCGGATGTGTCAGTCCGGACAGCCCAGATGCACCTGTGTCAGATCCACACTACATCATGCAGCTGGTCAGCGATGTGCGCAAGTTTGCTGATGTCCTGTTGCAGCTCAAGGAGGTGTTTAACTCCAAAGGTATGGACTGGAAAACCCTGTGTACACTACTATCGCTGTGGTAAATGTGGTAGTGCTGCACCATTCCTCGAAATTTTAGTGGCCGCAATATACAAATCACAACGCCTACACAGCTAATTGAATTGTTTTGTTTTTTGTGAGAATTTTGCTAGTCTTGTTTTTAGAGCATTAATACAGGCTCTACAAGTCACACAAATGTCCAACAAAGATGAATACTTTTGAAATAATTTGGGAGAAAAAAATAAAATAACATAATTTCTCGCAAAATATTTTTCTTTAAAATCCTGCAGCCCTAATATGTTGTTCCCTTATCATCTAGTTGATATTATGGAATGCAAGAGGAATGAGTGTCAGAGATTGTTTGTGTTGGTGTTTAGATCATTGAATCTGTTGCTTTAGGTTGGAAAATCACGGTCTTGAGTACCAACAAGCATCTATGTTGCCACAGCAGCTTTGAATGTGCGTTTGTCAGTGATGGACGTGAAAAGCCCCATTTGTTTCATAAAGTAAAGAGAGAACCACTTTAAACATGCTGAGGTCCAGTATATTACTAATTGCAATACCCTGCCTAAAATCATACACTTGATATTTACCAAATAAAGGAACAGGGCCTACCTCGACATGTTACCATTTGCACACGTGCCTAACGTGGGTGGCTGCTGCATTCCTGATACGTTGTGTTAAAACTTATCAGCAGATTGTTCCAATCATTGCTTTATGCCATCCATGACAGCCCACCTCTGGAACAAGGATTCCCAAAACTTCTCATTATTGTTCTGGGAGGTCAGAGAACATGCTTGACCCCGACTGGACAACCTGGCATCACAGAGAGTGGAGCAGGAATTGCATTAGTCCATTTTTGTTAAGCTTGGGAGACTTTGTAGTGGGCTGTTGGTGTGCTTCAGATCAAAGTAGAGAATAATGGGGGAGAGTGATGTCTTTGTATTTTATAAAAATCTATTTTCACCACTATTTACCTGCTCCTACCTCCTGCGATATATAAATTACAGCTTTGAGGTTTTTCAGTAATGGTGTCATTTTGAGATCTTCTGCACTCAGGATCAAAGTCTTGGTAGTTGAACAAGTCAAGCGTGGCTAATGTGCAAACATTACTTATGTAGTTAAGAACCGGTTTCTCAATTTCTCACTGGAGCTGTAACAGTATTCAATTTTACTGCAAAAAGACATCAATTAGTGACAGTCAGTCATGCATTACTGTTCAAGTCAAGTCTAATCATGCAAGCGTCACCACAGTATTTTATTTCCCTGAGATATGAAAACACAACACCATAAGCTACACATTTGTAACTGAAGGCTGTTGAACTGAATATAGACTAAGAATTATTGCAAAGGCTGTCTACAGACTTAAGGCAAACAGCTGTTCTTTGACATCTACACCAGGAGTACATTGTTTCATCACTACTAATCCATTTCTACAATTACTTAAACTACTTAAATAAATGTATGATCCATTATTATTATTGTCACAGAACAATGTCACTTTACCTTATCTACGTATTATCCTGTACTATTTAACTATTTAACTACTACTACTTATATATATTTTGACTGGTATTGAAGCATTTTCAGCATCTACAGCTAGTTATGTTAGCTAAGAAACATAGCTACTACTTATTTGTATATATTGTGTGCGCTCCCTGTGTGCTCTTACCACTGTCATATGTGTGCTGCAACATCGAAATTTCCCCACTGTGGGACGAATAAAGGAATTCTTATCTTATTATGATGTGGCAGTGTGATGAACAAATCTGCCAACAAATCAATTTTCAAAATAATCGGTGAAATACAGCCCAAATTGTCCTGTCTGTTAGCACTCTGGGGTATTAGACGACGCCGACAGCTTGTCAAGGGGTGTTGGTTTGCGTTCTGATTGGAGGCGATTTAAATCCCTCCTCTAATTTATGGCCATATTGTCTGCGCTGCGCTTCACAAAAGTTCAGAGCTCTCATTACTGCGGTAGTTCACAGCGGCTGATGGGAAAACCTCTTTTAAACTGAAGCGAGCCAATGGCAAAGGGCAGAAGTGGAGCTGAAGCAGTGACCCATCGGGGCACTCATAATTACTAAGACTCTCAAGCTTTGACCCAGAACTTCCACAAACTATCTCTTTGTGGCTCATGGGTAAATGTTTCAAAAGCAAAACAAAAATGTTATTTTCCATTCCCAAGACAGAAATAGTCCTTGGATGGCTCCCTCTGGGGTTCCCTAATACCAGCCATAAATGGCAATTGGGGTTTTGTTGTTTGTGGTGTGTGTTTCCTGGAATGCAAAGTACACTGGTTGTATTGTATTATTCTCTTAACAGTCTGTATAGACTTGCTTGGAACTTTTCTTTAATTCAATGCAATTTTTACAATATTTCTTATATGTACCTTATCAAATACTTACATTTTATAGATACGTTTTATAGGTATCTTAAAAATGACCTGAAACTATATATTTCTCGTTTCAAAACGACAGAAATAGAAACACTAAGGTCTTCAGATCCTTAATGTCATGTCAACAGTTACTGGTAGACACTGTCAATAAATGTCAAAACCCACTTCTTTAAACATTTTCAGTCATAAAATGATTAAAATGTGGCACTTGTGGTCTTTAATAGAAGCTATGATAATGCCCATCAATGCTATGACGCTATATTGAACTGGTTTTTACACGGCATCCTGTGTGGTCAAATGTGGAACCTGGTGGCTTCATGTTGTTGTTGACCCGGTCCAGTGACCACATGTGACGGACACAGCAGTAATTGGTTGTGGATTATTATTAGGACGTGGTGGTTGGATCAGGGTCACAGAGGACGTTTTGAAGACCAGAACTAGAACAGTCGGAGAAGGTGCCCCTTGTGCCTTTTGTGTTTAATGGTGAATGGGGCCTCCAAAGCCTCTCCATCATAAGATTAGGCTCCCAAACATGTGGCCTCCATCGCACGTCTTTATTCCTGTCAATAACAGATGAAATGAGAGCGGTTTTTAAAGTGACTTGTTGTGACATCTGAGATTATTTTTTTTTACTTTTTGTATTCAATAATCCTTTCCAATCCATTCAATTGCAAATTTAAGGAACAGGAGTCGTTTCCAAAGTGTTAGTGTTGTCACATCTCATTTTATAGTCACGGATATTTTATATACCTAATAATACATCATTGTCCTGTGAATTGGGGGCAGCTCTGCCCCCCGCCGACCCAGAAATGGTTTAAGGGGAAGAAAATGGATGGATAACACAACATTACAGTGACTTTGCTACCACAATTGTTTCAATATAATGAAAAAGGTCATCTCAAACATTATCTTGTTTATGTGGGTTTTTTGTAGAATATAGTTTCAACACTGGTTTCAGTATTTAATAATAGTATTTGATTTTTGATAATTTTGACAATGTCTAAATTTGGTATCGTCTGAACACTGATGATACCAAAATAATAGTTTGCTGCAGCCCTGTGCTGACGCAGACGAGCTGGACCATCTAGAAGAGCGCACAACACACTTCCAATGAGCTAAATTAATTGTTTCCCCATAACTTAATTCCATACCAAACCAGTTTCAGGTGGTGGTGTTCTATGTGATTTATTTTCAAGGAAAAGCAGGTGTCATGGCTCAGAACGGTTGGGGAACACTGCTCCAGACTCCTTCTGTGGCCGGTAGAATGTTATGAACACGCCTATGATGATTGTTTTTCCGCTGGAGTACCAACGATGATTGGAGGATGTCTATTTTTAATGTTTTGTTATTGCTCTTCCACGGCACGGACAGGTGTGTCATCACTAACGCTTGGCTTCGTACGAGCGCAATGAGCACCATTTACTGTGTCAGCGGGCGAACACACCTGCCACTGGTGATCTGAGGAACAAGGAGGATGCCACAAAGCTTAGACTCAAATGAGCAATGAATGGACTGAGTAATTACCATAAATACTTTGTGGAATTTGGATTAGTTTATGACGACAGAGTGTCATGCTCAAGGTCAGCCCACGCAAAGTACCGCCTACAGAGAGAAAAGCTTGAATGCATTTAAGAGCCAGAAACTTATGGTGCAGATGTATAGAGAGTTAGGGAAATCTCAAATAATTACTTGTTTGTAGATTTGGGCCTGAAGGTTGTGGGTTCGAGCCCACCACTGGACCTACTCCAACAGCTCTCACTAATGTCTGCTGTCGTTGTTTCCTTGGGCAAGACACTTAACCCCACATAGCCTGAAGCTCCCGCTGCCATCTTCCTGACCCAGAAATTGACTAATAAAGGGGTAGAAAATGAATGAACATACATTAGTCTCAAATACTGATTTGTTCTGCCCTAGATAATACCTAAACAGATAGTTTTCACATGGATCCTGCTCAGGATTCCACATGAATCCTGAGTCCCTGCTCAAATGAATAACATACTGATATGTATTGCATACTGTAATATGCAATCAAATTACAAGATACATTTATAACAGCATCAGGTTAACCGATGATTTCTTTGTTCCATATAGTTTCATCTCCACATTTAATATAAGTTATAAGCATGTTGTACCATTGTGTTTTTTTATCCCAATAACTCTAACATTTGAACTTGAAGTTTGTGTCTAGTGTAATGAATAGATTGTTGATCTAAGAAAAAGTTGGTGTAATCCAGGAAGTATTCAATGACTTGATGAACTGTACATTTGAGGAAAATTGGAAGGAGGGAGCTGAAGAGCTGAGAAGTGACTGGAAGTAGTGCATGAAAGGATCTAGGAAAGGAAGTACAAAAGGAAAGATTAAGGAGATGAGAGATTGAGTCATCAAAGGAATCTAGTAGGAATTAAAAAATGAAAAAAGTCACCCAAAAAACTAATTAACTTTAAACAAAATCCCTCAATCACTTTATTAGAGTTTTTCCCCAGGTCTGAATAGAGAACCAGACGCATGTTTATGTTCTGTATCTGTATGTTTCAGTCTATGGCTTTTTTTTAGATGGAAGCAGAGCATGGGCCCACAATGATGACCATATGTTAGAGCTGC